CGGGGCGGCTCCTCCTCCCGCAGGAAATGCCGGGCTGGGCGGGCCCGGGGCCGCCTCTTCCCCCTCGTCCCACCCCGCGGGGTGGGTGGGTCGGGAGCCCTCAGACCACCCCGGTTGCACTTAGGAATTCTTCAGCAGTTCGCCTTAAAGCTCCTCTGGTCCCAACCCCCCCCTTGCATGGGCAGGGACACCTCCCGGGCTGCTCCAGGTGCTGCCCCGTCTGGCCTTGAAAAGTTGAGGAAGAGAAAAAGACAGAGTTTATCGCAGGTTTCCCCAATAACTGTCCCCTCACCCAGTCTCTGCTGGCAGCTCCAGAGCACTTTGTGGGTGGGAACTGTCGGTACGTGCCCAAACGACAACAAAACTGGGAGTTAGAAGCTGCCACCCGCAGAAGCAGCTTGTTTTGGTGGTAGTTGCTGGAGAGGTTTAACTCCTCACCAGCCCCTGGGTTCCTGCTGGCAGGGTGCAGAGCCATGGGGCTCCCTCTCTGGGCTCCCTCAGCTGCTGTCGTGGCATTTAGCTGCTGGACCTGAATGGGATGAAGCAAGATGCAGGAAGGGAGTTGTTGTTTTTTTTAGACAGCTGTGGCTAGAGGATGGTTTGTGTAACGAGCACCCTGGTGCTCTTTGGGGGGGTCTGTTTGTCCTTAGGTTTGAGTTTACCCACAAGAAGCAGACGGGTGGAGCGGGCCAGTATGGCAAAGTGATCGGTGTTCTGGAGCCCCTGGACCCAGAGAACTACACAAAATTGGAGTTTGAAGACAGAACCGTTGGCACAAATATCCCCAAACAATTTATACCAGCTGTTGAGAAGGTACAGAGCCTTTTGTGTGTGTGGGACACAAGAAATACCCATTTACTGTGGCTCCCCTGCCCCAGGCAAGGAGGCTTTTCCCATTACTTCAGTGGCAGCAGAATCAAATTTGTGTGGTTTTCCTTAATGCCTTGCATTCCTAGGTTTTCCACTTAATTTAGAAGCTGCTGCTTGTTTTCTTTGGTGCTGTGTGCTCGCTCTGTCTCCACAGCAGTGCAGAAGGTGGCCTTCCCTTTCTGTCAAACAAAACTCCTCCTGTTTGGATCTCCTTTTAATGGCCCCTCTTCTGCTTTTGGTTGTGGCCACGTGCTTCTCATCTCTAAGCCCAAAACATGTAACTTTTTTGGTGACTTCTCTGAGGCCAGTTATGAGGGAAACTGGAATTAAGCTGGATTTCCTGCATGGATTACCAAATATTCTTTCTTTTTTGATTTCTTCTGTGGGCTTCCTCTGGGTCTCTCTGTAATTGGATCATTTATCATGTACTACTTGAAGTAGGACCTAGTATATAATATTTGCATTCATATGATAATGGGTCAACCTAAAATGATTCCTTCATTATTCCATGATGCAGCACTTAATTTTGCCAAACCCTGGGAAAAGCATGCAGTCTTAAAAGAATCATCTTCTTCAGTCCACTGGTCAGAGTGGTTCTTTCCACATGGACCATTCTTTTGTGTTTTGATTCTGCAGTCCCTTAACAAAGCAAAATCCTGAGTCTTTTTATTTGCTTGTTACATGATTTCTATTTAAAAAAATAAAAATAATAATTGGTATCAAACTGAGGTGCCAAAGAGTGATGGTACAAAGTTTTCAAACACTTGGGAATGAAAAGCTTTCCCCCCTGTTTTCTCCCATTACCAAGCAAGAAGGTCTGTTGGGTAGATGGGGGATTGCTGCCAAAAACTGTGGAAGGGGGTTGGTGGGTGGGGTTTATTTAAGGTGCATTGTCAATGCTGCTCTCTTTTTAAGCTTCATTTTGGCCTTCAGACTGCTAACTTTGGGGTGGTGTTGCCAGGGCTTCCGAGAAGCATGTGAGAAGGGCCTGGTGTCAGGGCACAGGATCTCCGGGGTGCGGTTCGTCCTGGATGATGGGGCACACCACATGGTGGACTCCAACGAGTTCTCCTTCATCAGAGCAGGAGAAGGAGCCCTGAAGCAAGGTATGAAGCTAGTCTGAACTTGTGTAGCTGTAGCTGCTTTGGTGTTGGAGATAAATTTAATGACCTCCTTTCTATAGGTTTGTTTGCTGCCTGGTGTATCCGTGGGTACATTTGAAGTTTGTGTGTGTGCAGAGCAGAATAAACGCACGAGTTTTGAGGGAGGCACAGTAGTTCTAGTTATGTGAAGGGAAAACCTTCTTTTCCTAGAATAAGGAAAACACCAACAGCATCATCCTTGCACAAGTATGAAAAGAACTTTCTCTCAAGCTCTGTGCCTCCCGGGCACAGAGGCAGGGGAGCTGGAGTTCCTCATAGTCTGTTGTTCTCTTCCCCCACTGACATAAGAAGCCCTGAGCATTCATGAAAGAACAGCTCTGTGCTCTGCACAGGGCTGTCTTGAATGAGAGCAGGCTTGTTCTTGGATGCTTGGTTATTTCTGTGGGCATTTTTCCCCAGCCATGGAGAACGCCAGGGTGCGCATCCTGGAGCCCGTCATGTCGGTGGAGGTGATGGCACCCACGGAATTCCAGGGAGCAGTGATCGCTGGGATTAACCGCCGGCACGGCGTGATCACCGGGCAGGACGGCCTGGAGGGGTACTTCACACTCTATGCTGAGGTGGGTGCTGCTCTCTGCCTCCTCACCTTCTCCTCTGCCCTGCCTTTCAGCTCCTCTGCTGTTCTGATCACTGACTGGAGCAGCAGTCTGGAGATGCTGCAGGTGTTGCGGTCTCTTCCTGGGTGATGCAGGTCACTGCATTGGGGATATTTGGGATATTACTCTTCAGCCTGGAGAAGAGAAGGCTTCAGGGATACCTTAGAGCACCTTCCTGTGCCTGAAGGGGCTCCAGGAAAGCTGGGGAGGGGCTTTTCACCAGAGAGGGCAGTGATAGGATGAGGGGTAATGGTTTTAAAGTGAAAGAGGAGAGATTTGGGTCAGACATCAGGAAGAAATTCTTCACCATGAGGGTAGGAAGGCACTGGAACAGGTTGCCCAGGGAGGTTGTTGATGCCCCATCCCTGGAGGTGTTGAGGGGCAGGTTGGATGAGGCTTGTGCAGCCTGGGCTGGTGGGAGGTGTCCCTGCCCCTGGCAGAGAGCTTGGAACCTGGTGGTCTTTAAGGTCCCTTCCAGCCTTCAGCATTCTATGATTCCATATTCCAGATCTGGTGCATTCAAACTCTTGACTTCTGAAAACACACTGTAAAAATAAATTAGTCAAAATTAGAGGCACTTGACAAAAATAGGTAATTGGACAATTCCAGAGAGCACCGGATTTTACTGAGTCTTTATTTTGTGAGATTAATTGCATTGTAACCCAAAGCTGAGGGGAAAAATACCTTGTTTTTACAAGAATGCTGTGCTTGGATTTCAGGTGCCACTGAATGATATGTTTGGATATGCCACCGAGCTGAGGTCTTGCACAGAGGTCAGTGTTCTCAGTACTTCTTGCTAGAAAGTCTTCATTTCTGCAAACCAAGTGTGTTGCTGTGCAGCATCACACACACAGAGCACATGCAGCAGCAAGAGTGGTAAAAAACCAAAACAAATGCAGACTAGGAAAATAAGCTTAGAGTTTTCGCTGTACTCTAACTGCTTTTTAATTAAAATAGCTTCTCATTAGTTTGTAATTTCTGGCCAAAAAAGTGTTTCGTACTTGGAGGAGGGAAGAGATTCAGGGTTCTAAGTGACACAAAGTGATGGTGTGAGTGAAGGTGTTGAATTCACAGCCTGGGAGAGTTGAGGTGTGTTCCTGAGCAGCTGCAGGTGGAAGAGATTTTTGACAGCAGAACTCATGTTACTGAGATGTCCTTTTTAAATAATAGACCTGTAGCTACAGACTGATGAGGTGGGAACCACGGGCAACCTTGTTTCAAAGAAACAACCTTCAGATGCTGTTTGCATGTCTTTGCCTCCCATCCCTGCCTGTGCAGTGCCCAGTGTTGGATACTGAACAGTGGATGATTCTTGCATGTTCTGTCACAGATGAGTGAGACCTGCTGCTACATAGGTGGACGTATTTAGCATCCTCACTTTGACTTTTCCAACTCTGCAGGGAAAGGGTGAATACACAATGGAATACTGTAAATACCAGCCGTGTTCCCCCAGCACCCAAGAGGAAATCATTAACAAATACCTCGAAGCAACGGGGCGACTTCCTGCAAAAAAGGGCAAAGCCAAGAACTGACTTTGCCTCCTGAGAACATTGAACAGTTTTTCACAGTCTCCTCTCCAAGCTCAGTTGCCCAAACGGGAGGAGCAGTCGAGGTACCTGCAGGCTGCAGTGGGACTTGTCATCTCCTCGTGACATCCTTCCTTTGTGGTTTCCTCTGGAGCCACCAGGAGACTACAGTGGAAATGTTCACATATAAATGCTGCTCGTTGACAAAAATATACAAGTGTTACAACACTGGTGATGATTTGTCTTGAAATTTATCTTAATTGGTATTAAAAATAATTGTATTTTTTTTACTCGATACATGACTGCTCTGTATGAGGCTGTTCCTATTGCTCTGGGTATGAGTTTCACCACTGGAGGGTCAGAGACTCAGCTGGCTCCAGACTGCTGGACGGGCTCTGGGGCTGAGTTATCACCCAGGGCTGAGCTGCTTCCACAGATGTGCTCCAAGCACAGATGCTTCAGCTCTTGGAGCATCCAGTCCAGAAAGCAAACGTCAGTTTTCCCTCCAGATCCTCCAGAAGGAATGCTCAGAGCCTCCAGCCCCACAGACTGGGCACAGCCCTGTG